GCGAACAACACAAACTACTTGAAAGGTAACAGAAGCGGTAGCTCTTAGTTTGGCTCAAATGTTGGACACCCACATTATTTGGGGGTAGGCTTTTAAGTCCATCAAAAGACGCATCCTCACTCGGATTGTAGCACAGACATGCAGTATTTTCCAAGAAGGGCATCTGCAGAGTAAATACGCACACGCATATATAGATATTATTCAGCAATTTTGACCCTGCTTCTGAAGAGAGGAGTCTAAGCCTACAGTGACAGCATAGGAAAGACCGAATGAAAACAGTTTTCCTGGGAAAAGTCAGTCTTACCTGTGCTTCCCAGCAGCCCTTCGCTGCATAGTCCCGTAGCTTCCTGAGGCTTTGGAGGTATCTGCCAGGATCGGACATCTACAGAGAGGAACGTAAACAGATTTCAAAAACCATGACCTTTACACAACGAACAGAAGGACTGTAGTACTAATATCCAGAGAAAAACCACTGCCTGCGGGTACATCTATTATTTCAGCAACCAGTCTGTTCCTCATCATGATGACAACGTTGGTTTTAAGAAACTTTCTTCAGTGGTTGCCCAAGGTCTCGGAGGAAGCGAGACAGGTCACCCGGGATTCCAGCGCGGGGCCTTGGCAGATTTATTCACGACGAGGCAGGCAGCCTCCCCGCTCCCACGTGCGCCATACGGTCGCTGGCCAGCAGCGCCTATACCTTTAGCAGAGGTGGCATAAAGGAACTTCTGCTTGCACCTCGGCTACAACTGCTCGTAGACTCAATTACTTGAAACACCGAGGCAGACACCAAAGCTCGTTTGAGAGAGTTCTTAGTGCTCTCCTTGTTTATGAAGAAGGTAAGCTCTGAGGAACAGCAGTTCCTTTCTGTGTGTGTTCACTGCACATAACAGAGGTCCAGAAGTTACAGTGAAAAAGTTGTTTTAAGACAAAAAAATACTACTTACAGCAGCCTTTCTGTTACTTTCCCAAAGGAGGTAGGAGCTGTTTAAACAACCCTGCTTTGAAGATTCTTCAAACATTTCAAGGGATTCTTTTCTTTTTTCTTCATCCTAAGAACAAAAGGCAGACGGTATTTTTGCTGCCCAGCCTCACTCACTAGACAAAAGCTTTTCGGCTTGCTTGCCACTGAAGGGTTTGGGTTTTTTGATATGCGTTGTGACCGGAAGGCTTCCTTTGAGACCTGAACACACCGCAAGCCCATGATCAAGCCAGAATTCATTTCACTGTCTGTAATATTCGACAAGCTAAGTTGGTAATGTTCCTTTAAACAACCAGCACATTAAACTCGTGAGAACAGAAATTCCTAGGCCACTTGAGGAATAAGAGCATTTGGCTGATGTATTTTTTTTTTTTTAATCAAGGTAAACAGCATTAGCATTCCCAAAAATGTACCCAAACACATCAAATCAGAAACACTGCTCACCTCAAAGAGACTCAAGACTTTAGCCAAGCAATGGAGAATAGATCCCTTTTGAGCCTGAAGAAAGCATTAAGATAAAGCATTGTTACATATAAACACAGAACAATAGCAATTTTTCTAGTAATTCCAGACTACAATTTTGTTTGCCTTTCAGTCATTCCTCCCCCTTGCTTTTCTCCATGTTTTGTTATCTTTGAGACAGTACTGAATCTCTCAGAAGAGACAGCACAGGCTGCTGGCACTCATGGTATACCAGGTGTAGCTTGGCAGTAAATTCATTAAAATGATTGATCCTCAGTCATTTAAGCAACAAGAGCACAGGAGCTCCTTGGGGAAACAAAGGTATTTTTTCCAAAATAACTAGATGCAGCTACTAGCCTATGCTAAAGTCAAGGGTAGAAGAAATCTTACTTTCTCCAACTGACACTCTGCTTTGAGACTCTCATAGACCACAGCTTTACAACAGCTTCCACTCAAGGACCAGGGAGGACGGATAAAAAGCCAGATAAACGGGGCTGCGCATGCATTCAACCGCTCCGCCAGACTGAAGAAATGAGATGCCTTTAACCCATTCACTTCTGCACGACCCTCGTCGGAGATGGACACTGAACAACAACAACAAAAAAAGCCAGAAATGGTTTTGAGTTTATTCACAACACTTGGCATTTAGTCAGGCCAAGACAGGCGACAGGATACAACCAGGAAAAGGTTGAACAGTGTCTTCCCTTTAGAGCCTTAAAAATCACGGAGATGGCAAAAGAAGAAAAATCTTACTACAATCAGTCTTTAGGAACAGATCACCCTAAGCTGGGGCAGGAGGGGCGTTCTGCACATACCAACGCTCAAAGCAGCGTTGATTCCTGTCAGCGTACAAAGAAATCGGTATGCAAGTCACCTGCCTTGCCAGCACCTTCTGCAAGGAGGCTCCCCCGTCAACTGTCAGCACCTTTTGGTACATCTGTCAGTCTGATCTGTACCTATAAATAAGCCTTTAGTTCGGCTGTATTTCCTTCTGTCGTGCCACCTTCCCCAAAGACCCGAGTACAAGCTTCCACACTTACAGCCTTCATTGTACAGGTACGCTATCCCCAGCTTCACAGCAGCTTCAAAGTTACCCCTTTCAGCAGCCCTGAGTGGGAAACAGAGAAGATACTCGAGGTTGAAATCGGGAGGCGCTTCCAGGCCCACATCCTCAAACCAGTTACTTCAGTGGAGGCCAGGCTGTGAATCTGGTGATCACCAACCATGAGCACATCTGCTTTCACTACAGAAGCTAAACATCAGTTACGCTGTGGCTTTTCTTGCTGCAGCCCTTTCGTATGCCAATGCCCAGGGTAAGGTGGCAATTCATAGGAACTGTTTCCCGTTCCCATGCTACATCCCCAAGGCCAGAATGCAATACCACGCTTTGGTACTTGTACCCTTCAGGACAGGCATCAAGCCCTTGTGCTCCTCCCTTCCAGACCGATGCGCACATAATAGTCGTCTTCAGAAAAAACATAACACACGCATCAAAGAAGGAATAGTCAGAAGCAAAACAATTATCATGACATTTAAGCTGACAGATCCCCTTCCAATCAGATGGATAAAGAGACACTTTTTAAGCAGATTTATTATTACCCTTTCAAACTGCACTCGTTTTAATACTGAAATTTACCCATTTTTCAATACGCTGGTTTGCACAAGAAGTGACCAAACCAACTCAGAAATACGGTTATGCTCTCGAGCCTCTGATTTCACTTGCACATTCATATGGAAGTACCACTGACAGATAATGTGCTATGTTCCCATACGGAATATTAATGCCCTTAAAGAGAAATCACTTTGGTATCTGCAATGGGCCCTGCTCCAGTTAGAGACAGCAGTTAGAAGCTGCAGCTCAGACATGAAATCAACACTTCATCACCCTAAGCAAAGACTTCCACAAAAAGGGAAAGCCCAATCCCCCAGTTACAGTGAGGACAGATTCGAATTGCATATCCACCTTCCAACAGCCTCTGCTACAGCGTCAGACAAACGTGATTCTCAAAGCTTACCTTTCAAACATCTTCAGATTGTTTGGAGAAGGCCATATTTCTTGGAAACTTGCACACGCCCAAACACTAGCATGATTATCCACAAGGTACTTAAGATGCGAGTGCACCTGTAAGGGGGGCAGGTAAAATAACAATTACTAAAATAAAGGGACAAACAGAAAAATAGTTCTTTGCAAACTAATTTTAGATAGGTAAGTAATTAATCACAAGTTAATCATAACTCGTTACCTGCCTAATCATCATTAAGGCAAGAGATGCCAAACCAAACTCATTTGTTCAGCCACGGTGATCTAGCAGGACAATTCCCACCGAAAATTTGAGAGCACTCAAATACTACTGCTAATCTGCTTAAGCTTGAGTACTGAGAAATAAAACTGCTACTGGGATAGCAAAAATCTCATTAATTACTGCATGTATTCCTTGTTTTTCTTCAGGTTTACTCTGACACGAGAAGCCAGCCTTTTCCACGTGCAGTCCTGGCTCCTAATGGCAGAGAGAAGCCGCGGCACGTGGCAGAGGGGAAGCAGTAGCAGACTCACAGCTCTGACCGAGAGGATGTCCTCGGCGGGAAGGCCTTTCAGAACGTGAAAAAGAACATCCTCGGGCAGACTTAACAACGTCAGGACTCGGGGCCGTTTTCTTATCCTTCGCTTTGAAGGGAAGGAAAAACACCTGGAACATCTACAGTGAATCACTGGAAAACAAAAACATGGGGCACCTCAGTTAGCGATGGAACAGCATGAGGAAAAAAGGCGCCACAGAGCGAACGCGTGCACGAACACGTCTTTACTTGAGTACCTGTTTACTGCAGCATAGGGCACTTCTTAAAACATCTTAATCATAGAGACATTTAGCATGTGTCATGTAACGCTGTAAGACTAAGCCACAAAGTAGTGAGTGACTCGTTCAATTTAGTCACCTAAGCTCAGAGGCTCAGCAGAGACGGCTCATGCTCAAGTCCTCTTCACTGAGGAGAACCCCTCCGCGCCCTAACTCTATCATTTGACTGTGTTTAACTAAACTGTCACTACTACAACTTCATTTAGCTCCATTTACTCTCCCTTCTCAGTTGATAGCAGTCCTTGGAATGGGACCAGAGAGGTGAGGAAGTTAAAACCCACCAAACCAGCTCAAGCCAAAAGCCCGTCTTTCCAAGCAGCCGGTTGCTGCCGTGGGTGCTCATGGAAGACCCCCAAGAACCAGGAGGCCTTTTGTTCAAGTGTCAGCACCTTGTAGCATTCACAGAGTAAGGCATCGCCATCACAGAATCGCAGAATCGTTTAGGTTGGAAAAGACCTTTAAGATCACCAAGTCCAACCGTTAACCCAGCACTGCCAAGCCCACCGCTACATAGAATCATAGAGTCGTTAAGGTTGGAAAAGACCTCGGAGATCATCAAGTCCAACCGTTAACCTGACTGCCAGGTCCACATCTTCTGTTCCTTGTTAAGGTTTACTGTCGCTGCATTCACCGAGACTCTCTACAACTGCCTGAAAGCTCTCTACAACGGCCTGAAAGCTCTCTACAACTGCCTGAAAGCTCTCTACAACGGCCTGAAAGCTCTCTACAACTGCCTGAAAGCTCTCT